TGAGGAAGGAGGAGTCACTCAAGATTGCACGTTTCAGCGGCTGTCAGTTCTGCTGGGCGCCTAACCAAAAAGCAGCGGAGGGGAACACTTATCCCCAGCTAACCCCAAGTCGGCGCTAACGGCAAGCGGCTACTGGATTTCCGTTTTGAGTAGCATTGTAGTCTTCCCCAAGGAAGTCATCCCCAAGTTATGATTTCGTCGCAAATGTTATGAATAAATTACGATTCTGGTACTCGCATGTAGGATTGGATGGTAAGCGGTCACTGACAGAGTTTTAATCATGTCAGAAGTCGGACGGAAATCGAGGCTCACATTCAGATTCAAAACTTGCTAGCGAGAAACAATGTTTGTAGTTCAGCTTTTTGCAGAAATACGTCGTCAAGCTCAAACGATCGTATATCAATATAATTTACATGATAATTTTCGCTGAGTCGCGTTCTCTCTAGAAAAACAGTTCTACGATTTTTGGAGTGTTATGTCGTACATGGTCGACGTTGGGACGGTTGAAGTACAAGAGTCGATACTCGCAGGGCGTGTGAAATTTAGGGTTAACGCGAGCGCAACACGAGCGCCCCGCGTCTTGACAATTCCCGTGTAAAATAAACAAATTCATGGCAGCTACCGAGCAAACAATGACGGTCTGTCGTGGAAATCACAGAGCGACTGCATGTCATTTTTGAAGATAATTCACGAGGCCCGTCTCGTCGCACGAAGCGATGGCCGATGCAAGCTCACTCGCAAGCTGGGTGTCGGAAGTGGCGACGCCCGCGACACAACGGTCGTGGAGTCTAACACACGGCAGCCCGTGCACAGCAAATAGTACATTCGCATCTGACAGCGCGATTGGCTACGAAGACGGATTGGAGATTGTTGCAGGAAACGCCGACGAATGGCTCTACTACGATTCTCGATACAGAGTGCTCGTCTGCCGGTATCACGGATACGCTGTCCGGAACTTGGCAACGCATCTAAGGCTGCAACATAAAGTCCGAAGCTCTGAGAGGGCCGCAATAGAAAAGAAGTTTGGCGCTTGCGAATTGCTGGAACCGGCACAAGTCACGACACCGCCGACGCTTCAGGCACCGTTAGACTGGCTTGGGGCGCCGATGCGAGGATATCTGTGCGACGAACCCGGGTGTAGCAAGATCTCGATAAGCCGTGATGAGATCAGAAAGCACTGTTACAAGGAGCATGCATGGAAGTCGAATGTCGACGACCCGGAACACTGGCATGCAGTATACGTACAGACGATGTTTCAATCGAAAGCGCATCGCCGGTATTTCGTGGTCGACTATCACGACGAGAGCGTACGGGAAGCGGAGCAGTCGAAGGACGGGATGAGCTCGCAGAGTCAGCAAGTTATAGAAGATTGGGACCGGCGTCTGGAACAGCAAGAAGAAGCAATGCAGGTGGCCGAAGCTACTATGGCAAAAACCGATCACACACTATGGTTCAAACGCAACAAATGGCCGCAACATCTAGCAAAAAGCAATTTGCGGCATCTGAGCCGTGCTTGTTGTTTACCGGGCCGAGACGAAGGAACACTCGAAGATGTACCGAAGCGGGTTGAAGGTTTAGTTGAAGAGTGCGTCAAAGGACTGCCGACACTCGGGCATGTCATTAGGCGGTGGCTACGAAGCGCAAAGGCATCCGAACCGGACGCACGACCGATGGCAAGACTACAGAATGAAGACAGTCAGAAGCGATACGCCGGTTACATGACCCGATTCGTTTGCTATACACTTCGAGTGTGGGAAAGCTGTGAGGCAACAGGCTTGCGAAGTGGAGAGGAGGAAGATGGAGAGGATGAAGATGGAGAGGAGGAAGGTGGAGAGGAGGAAGGTGGAGAGGATGAAGATGGAGAGGAGGAAGGTGGAGAGGAGGAAGGTGGAGAGGATGAAGATGGAGAGGAGGAAGGTGGAGAGGAGGAAGGTGGAGAGGATGAAGATGGAGAGGAGGAAGGTGGAGAGGAGGAAGGTGGAGAGGATGAAGATGGAGAGGAGGAAGGTGGAGAGGAGGAAGGTGGAGAGGATGAAGATGGAGAGGAGGAAGGTGGAGAGGAGGAAGGTGGAGAGGATGAAGATGGAGAGGAGGAAGGTGGAGAGGAGGAAGGTGGAGAGGATGAAGATGGAGAGGAGGAAGGTGGAGAGGAGGAAGGTGGAGAGGATGAAGATGGAGAGGAGGAAGGTGGAGAGGAGGAAGGTGGAGAGGATGAAGATGGAGAGGAGGAAGGTGGAGAGGAGGAAGGTGGAGAGGATGAAGATGGAGAGGAGGAAGGTGGAGAGGAGGAAGGTGGAGAGGATGAAGATGGAGAGGAGGAAGGTGGAGAGGAGGAAGGTGGAGAGGAGGAAGATGATATAAGAGGTGCAACAGGATCTAATACGATCAGCGGATCGACGGGCAGTGGCATACGCGAAATCGACACGATGGAAGATGCTCGAAGATTATACCCGTGGCCGAGCGGCTTGTACGAGATCGTGGGTCGGCTTTGGAGAGCGCTGTCTCCGTCGCGCCGCACTGGGTCACCGGAAATGGTCATGCTGGAGTTTTTCAGGCATGTTCTATTTCAGCATGTAAGGGTGGACGTCTTCGAGAGCCCGTTGTTGCACTTTCTGGCGGTGCTGGGTATCGATGAAGAGACACACAGATTGCGCGAAGGCAACGACTTTTCGTTCATGCTGGCTGGGATCGTCTACAGTTGCCGAGTGCTGGGCGTCGAGATCATTCTCCCGAAGACATTTCGAAGGGGAGAGACGGCAGAAGACGACGAGCGATTTCTCGAACTGCGACTTAAACATCTCGCCGACGGATCGTTCAGCCCGATGGCAGAGATGATCAGCTTGTTGGCGTATAGCCGGCACTGCGCGTTCAATCACGCAAATGCCGGAGCGGTTTCTTGGTCGCTTGATGGCAGCACAATTGCATACAGAGGTCGGAAGATCCCGCTCGCGAGGGTCAGAAAGCTTGTTGACGCAGTGGTGACCGAGGCCGAGAATATACTATGGCGAGATGTACTCTGGCAGGTCGACTCCGAGCGGTTCGAAATCCCCGTGGATGCGCTAGAGGACGACGTCACGTTCACGCGCAGGGGCTACTCGTTTCTAAACAACGCACACAATGGGCTCGAGGACACACGGGCGTGGATGCTGGCACAGATGGAAGCACACGTCGAGGGCAGGAAGCTTCTGCGGAGAGGGCGCTGGCAACGTCGTGAGACACGCAAGTATCTGCGTCGGGTAGATCATTTCCGAGAGCTACTATTGCTTTGCGTACACTGGACTGGCGGACAGCCGGCACGTGGCACGGAGATCACGTCTGTCCGGTACAAGAACGGATACATGCAAGATCGCAACGTCTTCGCGGTTCACGGGCACATGGCCGTAGTGACACGGTATCACAAGAGCGCGTCGCAGTACGATCAACCGAAGGTCGTCCCGCGTTTTCTCGCTTGGCGTGTTGGGCAGCTCATGGCTGTGTACTTGGCGTACGCACGCCCGCTGCAAGAGCTGCTCGCCGGAGTGGTGAACGGACAGATGGCGAGCGAGTACATCTGGTCGGGCGAGCACGGCCCGTGGGAGACGGACAGACTCACGAGGGTCATGAAACGTGAGACCGGCCGTCATCTCGGCGTGGAGCTCACAACGCACAGCTACCGGCATCTTGCGATCGCGATCGGCAGAAAGGTGATCGGAGAGCAGTTCGCGAACGGATATCTAGGAGACGTCGACGACTTTGACGAGCCGGAGGAGGAGACGGACGATTCGCTTGAGATGCAGGCTGGCAGAGGTGGTGAGGTGGGAGCGAAGCGATACGGGGTGTCGATGGATATCATCAAGAATCTGAGCAGCCGCTCGATCGACACGTTCCGACCGCTCTGTCAACAGTGGCATCGATTCTTGGCTTTGGAGAGCTGTCGAGCGGAGGGCGGCACGAAACGTAAGCGGCAAGATGAGCATGAGGATGGCGACGTTGGGAGAGAGCCCCGGACCGACGTACTCGCTGCATTCAAGCGAATGAGGCGCAATTGGCAAGGGCGTTGTCCGAGAGAAGATGACGGTCAAGATCGACTCCGAAGAGCAATGCAGAAGGCTCTCTGCAAATCAGACGTTTCATTCCGCTCGGAGACGCAGAGGGAAGCGCTGGAGACGATCGTCGAGGGTGGACGCCGGCCGCTGGTGGTGGTGATGCCGACCGGTGGCGGGAAGAGTCTGCTCTTCACCGCGCCCGCGTGTCTCGACAGCACCGGGGTGACGATTGTGGTGGTCCCGTTCCGTGCGCTCATCAACGACTTGGTCGAGAAAGCGAAAAAAGCCGGCATCGACAGCGTGGAGTGGCGGCCCGGCGAGGTCAATCCGGCGACGATCGTGTTCGCTAGCGCAGATCTCGTCGACGGCACGAATCTCTTGGGCTACGCACAGCAGCTGTTGGATAGCGGCCGGCTTCGACGGATCTTTATCGACGAGTGTCATCTGATCTTCAAGGAGAATCACTGGCGAGCAAAGCTAGCCCGTCTGAGCTGTTTGCGAGGAGTGGATTGTCCGATAGTGTTGCTGACGGCGACGCTGCCGCCGCGAATGCAGTTCGAACTCGAGCGTTGCATGGCGATCGAGTTCTGCCGCTACATCCGCGCCGATACGACGAGGGAGCGAACGAGATACATGGTCGAAGAATGCAAGCCGGGCAAGCTCGAGCGCAGAGCGATAGAGATATGTCACAGCTGGGTCGAAGCAAACCGAGTCGAAGCAAGCCGGAGGAGCAAAGGCGTGGTCTACTGCCGCAGCCGCGCAGAGTGTGAGACACTGGCCGACGAGCTTGGATGCGCTTACTATCACGCAGAAGCGGACGGTCGAGAGGAGAGGATTTTTGACTGGGCAGAGCGTGGCGGGCTGATAGTCGCTACATCTGCGCTCGGGACGGGCGTCGACTTCCCGGGTATCACGCTCGTTCTACACGTGGACATCCCGTGGGGCATGATTGATTTCGCGCAAGAATCAGGGCGAGCTGGCCGAGCGGGAGAAGACGTGGATTCCGTGATAGTCATCGAAAAAGGACGGATCGACCGCATGCGACACAAGATGCAAAACCCGGACGAGCAAGCTATGCTGGACTTCGTTCGAGCTCGGGGCTGTAGGCGGAAGATAAGCGGCAGTTTTTTGGATGGTATGGAGCACGACTGTGTCTCCGACGAGCGCGGATTGGCCCGCTGCGACAACTGCGGTGACGGATGGACCGCTCTCGAGCGAAGACAAAGGCAGACGAGCGAGACGAGAGCGAGGGTGGAGCGTGTTCTGAGCGAGCTCGTCGACGATTGCCCGGTATGTTGGGTCGAAGAACGAGTGTCTTGCAACAGCCGGGGTGCGAATCTTCCGCGGCAGGTCAACGCATCGACGGTGGCAGGCACATGCGGCTTTGAGGACGGGGTGGGCGATTCCGCGATGCTCAACATACGCTTCGACCGAGACACGCACAGCTGTTTCCGATGTGGGTTGAGTCAAAAGTTCTGTAACACCGGACAGTCGACAGGTGCGGAGTGTCAGTGGCCGAACATCGCCGCTCCGATGCTGCGAGCAATCCGTCAGACGAGAAAGGGCGCCGAGATTCTGGAGGGCTGGGAATTCTCTGGCGAAGAGGCGGCAGATGGGCAGGATGGAGGATATGTCACATGGCTCGGACGCCGGCACGCGCGACGAGTGCTAGGGGAGGTGGTAAGCAACGGCTTCGCTCTTCTCGTCGAGTTCATCTCACAGCAGCACCGGGAGATGGCAGGGGCAGACAACACGAGTGAGACAGAAGGGCAGGCGGAAGACACTGGGGATGAAGTGACAATCACGCCGGCGCCGGCACCGGAGGCATCATGGAAGGGCTCGTCGAGCGGGCAAGGGCAAGGAGGCAACGGCGATATGCGCTCTCTCGAGTCGGATGAAATAGTGCGGCGGTGGGAGCGGGGCTGCGTCGTGTGTCGCGCGAGAGGCCGTGACCGGACGGATCACGCATGGCAGGACTGTCAAGTCGACGCAGATCACACGGAAGCAGCACACGAGGGGGTGAGGCTCATCAACAGTCTACAAGCGCCGCTCAGGACGACCGGATTTCGCTGCTGGGCAAAAGGCAAGAGATGTCGTTGCTGGATGGAAGGAAGACGAGGTGGGTGTTCGGGCAGTGCCGTCATTTGCTCAATCGTCGGTGCGTTGCTCTACGTAGGAGGGCTGGAGGTTCGCGAATGGGTGCAGGCGCAGGAAGCGTTCACACAGGCGATTAAGGAAGGCAAGAGCGCACAAGCTGGGCTAGAGAAATTCTTATCGACTAAGGGCACGTACGGCGGACAGAAGTGTGCTGGAGTAGACGCATTGATAGTCAAGTGGGGCATATAGACGGATCAAAGATGAAAGTCAAACCCGCTGACCGTGATGATGAGTGATAAGGTGAGAGAGAGCAAACCCGGTAACACGCTAACCCGCTAACCCGCTAACCGTGATGATGAAGTGAGAGAGAGAGCAAACCCGCTAACCCGCTAACCCGCTAACCGTGTTGATGAGTGATAAGGCGAGAGAGAGCAAACCCGCTAACCGTGTCGAAGTGAGAGAGCAGACCGGCGAAACGTGTTGATGAGGTGGGAAAGAGCAGTAGCTGCGCGCTACTACAAGTGTAAAATCCGACGCCGGATTTGTGGAAAAATCACAGGACCCGAACAAACGATCGTATAACGAGAAAATTGGCACGACAATTTTTATCGCATTACTTTCAGTTAAACAGTATGTTTGCACGATTTTGCGATGGTTTGATGAGACGCAAGAAGCGATGCAAGACCCGAAGTATGAGAGGGGAATTCGCAAAGCAAGTAGGAGTTGAAGTCGTTGGTCGAGAGGATGACAACTTCTATACAAACGATGGTATGGCGATGAATCAGACACGATGATTACAGGTGGTGGGTGGGGAAGAATGGTGGCGCTGTGCCCCGAAGGAGTCAGCCGCGCCGCGAGGCAAGTATGCACTACGTAGTTGTCACAATCGCCGAAGGCGTAGGAAAGACGAGAAAAGAGTGGAAGAGAGGTTTGATAGGGGGTGGTGGGTAGGGGAAGAATGGTGTCCCCGTGACCCGAAGGTGTCAGCCGTGCCGCGAGGCAAATGTAGGGTTTTGAGAAGGAACGCGACAGGGTTAGGGATAGTAGAAGTTCGTGATAGACAGGTGAAAGGTTTGTCCGTTCGGGCATTACGGGGAAAGGTAAGGTTATCTAACCGTTCAGGTGTCACGGGAAAAGGTGGGTTATCTAACCGTTCAGGTGTCACGGGAAAAGGTGGGTTATCTAACCGTTCAGGTGTCACGGGAAAAGGTGGGTTATCTAACCGTTCAGGTGTCACGGGAAAAGGTGGGTTATCTAACCGTTCAGGTGTCACGGGAAAAGGTGGGTTATCTAACCGTTCAGGTGTCACGGGAAAAGGTGGGTTATCTAACCGTTCAGGTGTCACGGGAAAAGGTGGGTTATCTAACCGTTCAGGTGTCACGGGAAAAGGTGGGTTATCTAACCGTTCAGGTGTCACGGGAAAAGGTGGGTTATCTAACCGTTCAGGTGTCACGGGAAAAGGTAGGTTATCTACCCGTTCAAGACTAGGGGCACGTACGGGGGACAGAAATGTGCTGGAGTAGACGCATTACTAGTCAAGTGGGGCAAATAGACGGATCAAAGACGAAAGTCAAACCCGCTAACCGTGATGATGAGTGATGAAGTGAAAGAGAGCGAACCCGCTAACCCGCTAACCCGCTAACCCGCTAACCGTGATGAAAAATTGAGGGAGAGTACACCCGCTAACCCGCTAACCGTGTTGATGAGTGATAAAATGAGAGAGAGCAAACCCGCTAACCGTGTCGAAGTGAGAGAGCAGACCGGCGAAACGTGTTGATGAGGTGGGAAAGAGCAGTAGCTGCGCGCTACTACAAGTGTAAAATCCGACGCCGAATTTGTAGGAAAATCACAGAAGCCGAACAAACGATCGTATAACAATGAAATTTGGCCCGGCAATTTTTCTCGCATTACTTTCTATGTAATAGCAGGTTTGCACGGGTTTACGATGGTTTGATGAGACGCTTGAAGCGATGCAAGACGGGGAGTATAAGCGCGAAATGGGCGAAGCTTGTAGGAGTCAAAGCTAGTACTCTGGAAAATGACAAGTTCTATACAAAGGACAGTATGGCGACGAGTCAGAAAGGACGATTACAGGCGGGTGGGTGGGGAAGAATGGTGTCACCGTGACCCGAAAGGTGTCAGCCGCGCCGCGAGGCAATTATGGTATTAAGGATGAAGAGACACTATAGAGGGAAAGAGAGGAAAGCGCTAACTATGGCAATGAGGTAGAACTAGGGACCGCTAACCGTGACGATGAGTTGAGAGAGAGAGTAAATACGGTGAGCGTGTTGATGAGATGAGAAAGAGCAGACCCGCTAACCGTGTTGATGAGACAACCGTTTTGATGAGACGAGAGAGAGAGGGTAGAACCGCTAGCCGTGTTGATAAGATGAGAGAGATTAGACCCGCTAACCGTGCTAACGAAGGTTTGAGAGCAGATGGGACAAAGTGAATTCAGGGGTGGGTGGTGGGGACCGCATGGTGTCACGTTCGCCGAAGGTGTGAAGAAGGAAAGTTCAACAAGAAAGAAAGTAGGATACGGATTTGAAAAGGAAGAGGGGACAGTATGGGACAGGGTGAAGGCCGGGGTCGGGGCGGTCTCCGTTGAAAATGCAGACAAGCGTTAGCAGAGACGGAATAGTAGCGAATAAGGGTGAAATGTTAGGGAAGGTACGTTTCGCGGTTGCTTCATATAGACAGCTGTCGGGACAGCACAGAGGCTGTTTCGCTGGGAAGAGATGCAGGGGGAGTGAAGATGCATAGGGCTCGCGAGGCTACAAGGCTACGAGGCTACGAGGCTACGAAGCTGCAGGGGTTATCGGGATGATCGGGATGCCGAACGATATCGGCATACCGGAAAATTGACGAAGAACGGAGTAAAGAAACGGTCAAAGAGCTACGCAGATGGAAGTGTATAAGATCGTGTTTTTCGAGGCGCGATAAGCTCAGGGAGAAGCTCGGCATATAGGGGTGCGACGGATTAGTTGGCGTGCTCACGGGTACACGCGATGGTCTGGAAATGGTCGTGGCCGTGGCGAATAGAGGGATGTGGTGCAAGGAATGGTGCGTCGGCATTGCGATTACGGTTTCGACGAAGCGGACTTCATTGGTGGATTTAGGGTCGGAAGGATCAAGTAGGTTAGCAGCGAAAACAGCGCGCTTGGCGGGCTGGAGGAAATACGTAGTGAGAGGAGGGAGGAAGCGAAAGGAAGGAAGTTGGGTGGCGGCGGAAAAGATGGGAGAGCATGGTTCGGACGGCGGAGTAGGGTAGAAGCTTAGTAAGTGTGAATGCAAGAGAGGTTTTGGCGAGACTCGGAGCTGGGTATAGCCGGTAGCGCGCTACAAGAGCAGCAGGAGGAGGGCGAATGACAGACAGACAAAAGAATTCGTACTACAGAATGATAGCGAAAGCATCAAGATTTGGTAGCTGGTTCAACAGAGGGTAA